TTGCAAAATTTGATTGCGTGAATAACCTTTGCAGATGATCCCAAACCTCTTTTGCTGTCTCATACTTCGCCAACTACATGCCTATCGAATGTTCAACAGAATTGTTGATCCAAGTAATGATCTTTGCATTATTTGCCTCTCATGTATCTATCAAAACATCATCCCTCTCCTCATTTTAGGTATCATATAAGTTCCACTAACATACCCCCACATCTTTTTACCTTTAAGAAAATTTCTTATTACATAGAAAAGAAGAAGAAGAAGATATTGAGATTGAAACTGAGAATTAAAGTGAACAAGAAAGAGGATGCAATTCTGCATCAAATGTAATTTCATCCTCCTTCCACTTTTCCAACACAATTATATATATTTAGTAGTTTAACTATCCATGTAACTAACAAACTAACAATTCCAACTAACTATACAGCTCCTTCATTAAATTTTGTAACTAACTTAATCCTGAATAGGCATTATTATTTAGCACATGTTTTTATTAGCTAATATTGATGCTAATATTGTTACTTTTATTCAATGGTTAAACCTTCAATCTATAAATGTCTCTCCTTTGAGCATGTAATAATACCTTTCTTTTAAGATTATCCTTAAAAATCAATAGTGAAATTTAGAAATTAGATGGCTAGCTCTTCTAAATTTTCCCATGTGGAATCCTCCTTGTAAAGATCACATCAATGGATTAAACCCATTGTGACTGTTGTGTTACCCTTTTTTTTAACCATCTTTTAAAAAACAACTATTGGACTAAACTTAACTCTTTCATACTCATCATATTGTCTTCTTTCACATTTAGGAATTATTTCCTGACCTCTTTCAATAAGACTACATAAATATTATTTAATACATAGATAACACTTTAAATAAGTGAAGTGGATTTGGTTAAATTAATCAATTTTTTATTAAAATAATGTTTTAACTGGAAATAAAATATAATACAAATAAAGCTTCAAGTTAACGACTCACTAGGTTGATTTTTATTGAGGTTTTATAACCATAAGAAAAACTATATTTTTAGAAATCACAGCTCTTTAATAATTAAACTCTTTAATTTTTTATTAAAATAATTTTTTAGCTAAAAATAAAATATAATACAAATAAAACTTTGAGTTAATAAGTCATTAAGTTGATCCCATTAAGGTTTTATAACTATGAGAAAAACCATATTTTAGGAAAATCACAGCTCTTTAATAATTAAACTCTTCAATTTTTTTATTAAAATAATGTTTTAACTATAAATAAAATATAATATAAATAAAGCTTTGAGCTAGCGAGTCACTAAGTTGATTCCATGATGAAGGCTTTATAACCATGGGAAAAACCATATTTTAAAAAATCACAGCTCTTCAATAATTGAAACTCTGTATTTTGCTCCTCCACTCCCTGCTAATTTCATATGCGTCCCTTGAGGTATAGAACTCAAGATCAAGAAGCCAAAATCCAAATACAACGTTGCTGTCCTCCTCGTTGCTTATAACATTAAAAAATAATATAAATTATACTTTAAAATTTTATCTAATTATTTAAATTATTAATTTAATTAGTTTTTTAATATAGTATTATAATTCGAATAATCAAGTGGTTATGAATTTAAATCTCACCATCTCTATATATATAATAAAAATTAAATATAAAATAGAATAAGTCTGTATAAGTTTTAAACCTAAATAATTTTTATTTAAAGAAGTGTGTTAGAAAATAATATAAATCATATCTTAAGATTTTACTTAACAATTTAAACTATTAAATTAAATTGGTTTTTTGATATGGAGCCCTTGCTCAACTGTGATATTTGTAGTGGTGTTTGATTTGGAAGTGTCATTAATTTCTTTTATAGGATTTAAATAAATATTTTTTATTTTTATAAAATATAATTTGTATTTTAAAAGGATTATATTCTTAAAAGAAAATAACCATACCTCTAAATCAAACACAGTAAACATGAACGAGCCTGGGGGGCAGTGGCTGGGTGTTGCCTTCTAAGATTTTGAAGCTTTAGCTAATATAGCAATCGCTTCTGTTTTTTTAAAGAAACTTCAGGTGCATGTTCTCCGAATAAAAAAAAACGTAGAAATCTTGAAGGTAATTAAGCTTCGTTAGATCCCATAAAATAGTATATAAAATATTTCGTGGCTCCTCAATTATGAATTTTGTGTATATAACAAGATTTGTCACATCTTTAATAAACCCTTTCCTTCATTTGCCTTGGTTTTTAAGAGTAATTAATCACAACATTGAGTTGCCTAAACCATATAAAATTCCATAGTAAGAAGCCTATGACCATATTCGCACAAGTCTTCTCATTTTTTTTCAAGGTTGAAGAGTAATGGTGTCAAGAAAATAAATATCAAGTGCATAGTTTGGTAAATCACACAATGTAATAACAATATGAGAAGTTTTACGGTGTTAAGAGTAATTAACTTATTAGGTACAATACCATCAATTACTTTTGACATATAATTTTCCATTAGGTTCCATGTGTGTGATAAATAAAAAAAAAAAAATTCACCAAAAGTTCTACAATATTTTCTAGAGCTAAACGTGAAGGCATCAAAATAGTAGTTATTCAAGGTAACTTAGACATTGAACTAGTGTAATCTTCAAGTTATAGCTAGAGTTGGTTAGTTTTGGTTGGATTAAAAACTTTTAAAAATTAAAATTATAGTTTTTTTTAAAAAAAATTAATTAGTTTTGATTTAGTTATTTAAGCTATGGATCAATCTAGCTTTTTGACTAGGTTATGTGATCATCTTTTCCTTTTTTTTTTGAATGAAACTTGGTCTAAACAGTGTCTTGAATCAATCCACTGATCTTAGCAACCATCAAAATAGTTTTACTTTAAAGAATGTATCACATATAGTCAGGGGCGGAACTGTGGGCGAAGCAAGCATGATACAACTTTTTCTTAAAAGAATAATTAGCTGCAATAACACATGATGCAACTTTTTCTTTTTCAATAACATATTTCACTGATAACAATAAGGATAAATTTAAAAATTAGTACAATTAATTAAAAAATTAATAAATTAATATAAATTCAAAAAGATTTGATAAAATAATAAAGTTTAGAATTGTAGGGTTTAAAAGGACCAATTAGCTATTTTTGGTTTAATTCATCAATTAATTCTAAAAATAACAATGAAAATCTTTAAATTGCTAAAAGTAGAGAGTTTTAGAAAAAATTTTGATATCTGCAATGAAAATCTTTAAATTGCTAAAAGTAAGAGAGTTTTAAAAAAAATTTTGATATCTAAAAATCCGATGATTTATATTGTTATAATAAATTAACATATAATTGCTCAAAATTATCTACTATTATGTGAACAATAACTTTTTAAAATTTTAATTAGAATTTATTTTTGAATCAACAAGTTGGATAAAAATATATATTCTAGCTTATTAAATTAATTAAAAGAAAAACCTTATAAAATTATAATTTATGTATGAAACAATTAATTGGTTAATCCAATCACTTAATTGATTGAGGTAAAATATTAGAGCTTGACCATATTATATTTTAAAAATATAATATTTACTTAAATATTATTATTTTGAAGTGTGATAACTAAATTATATTTTTTTTAAATATAACATGATGAAATATTTCATCAATTTTTGTTTTTTGACACTGTGTAACTTTACTTTTAAATTCTTTTAATTTACTGTACTAATTAAAAAAAATCCTAACATTAATTGTTCATCTCGTACATGATATGATTTGAGTCGTGTCTATAACCTTTCGATGACGACTTCTCATCTACTTGTTCTGCAAGCATTTTTATGTACTTCAATTCCAATGCAAGTGGGTAAAATTCTTTCAAATTTGTATAAATGCGAAATGGAAAATGTTTTTGGCTTAACCTAACTCTCTCTCTCTCTCTCTCTCTCTCTTCTCCAATGAAAACAATTTCTAGTATCTTCACTTTTTTTATTACAAAAAATAAGACATCTACCTCAAACCTTAGTTGGAGAATGTGATACATTTTACGAGTTAATCTAATCTAATCTAGAGTTAATCAAAGATTAGATTGACTTGAAACATGGATCATTATAAGGTTAAATTTATTTTATAATCAACCTCATTAAAAATTTAGATTGATTGAGTGGCGTAGTCCAGACTTGATCGTCGTCCTGTTGACTTTTTAGATCACAATTAATCCTTTTTTCTAATTTTCTTACTTCTAATACGGCAGATTGCATCGATAACATGCAATTATAATTAAAAGAAATTCCATTACACTCGTGTCGGGAGTACTGAAGTTCAAAATATTTATGTGAACGGAGATATAGATGTAGAGTTGCCATCAATAATAAACTGTGACATCAAGACTTGGAACCCGATTTTTCTTTACAAAGTAGACGAAGGTGGTCACCACCTCCTGGCGATGCAGCCCAAACGAATTGCTGCCCTTGTTATTTTGCATAATCAGAAGTGGCTTGTCATTGGGACAAAAAAATAACTATAAAGTATTATTGTCCTCCATATTTGATTTTATCCATCCATTTTTTTCTCAAAAAACTTAAATAAATCATAAAATTCTTATTAAATTGATTAATCTTGTTTTTTAATGTATAAACATATCACAAACACCAACCAAATCTAGTTAAGGTTATGCCATTTGGCCATGGTGCTGTTTTCTGCACTTTTGGGATTCTCTTTCTATGCTTCGCAACACTTTCCATTACAGTCGGTCGTCTCTTTCCCTATGCATTTTGTCCCTTTCCTTCTTTAGGTGGCTGCAAATCCATCATATTTAAGAATCATCAACACATGGACATGCCTCAAGGTACATTGTTTCAACCCAAGTTTTTGTTTCTTTTACCTGCGTTTTACTCTTTCCATTTACGTCAACACCTAATCAGCTAAGAGGGCATTCACTCCTTCCATCTTCATTAGTTGGCAATCTTACATTTGTTTGCTTTCAATTATGAGTCCTATTATTGTTTGATTTGATAATTATACTATTGCTTTATAAAATTATTTAGCACCCTTTCATTCCATTTGAAGTTGTATTATGATCACATATTAGCTTATATATATATATACAATATTTTTTGAAATTTAGTCTTTCATGCACTGAAAATAAATTATTTTTCCAAGATTTATGCTTTTACAGGAAGTTTTTTCCCTTCTATCCTCTCCTTGGTTTTAGAATGCTAACGTGGGCAAGGCATCTAAGTGGGACACAGGGAGCCTCTTGCAACGAAAAAATATTGATATAATTAATTGTTTTGATTATTTTAGAAGTATTAAGCATATTAAAACTGCATGATTTGATCAAGTCTACACTTCTTCATTGGATACTTATCATGTCTCAGCATCTTTTTATTACAATATCAATCCAAACTAAGGGTTACTTACGTTGTAATCTTTGGCTAGATTTTGGCTGTAGAAAGTTAAACATTTTTCTGGCTTCTTGTTGTGTTTTGTAGGACTGGTCTAGTGAATGTGTGACAATGGCGAGGTACAGTTATGTCTATGGGAGTGAGAGGGATGAGCTTGCAGAGCCATCTCAGAGACTGATAGAGGCTGCTTTGAGTGGAGATGTAGAGTTTGTGACAGAGAGTTTAAAGTCAAAAACAGTAGATGTGAATTATATAGGGACTGTAAACTTGAGAGTGAAATGCATTGAGACAGTGTTGAGAGAGGAAGAGGCTGATGAGATTGAGATTCAGTACAGGGATTTTGTCACTGATGTCACTCCACTTTTTGCTGCTGCTCATTCAGGTCATGTTGAAATTGCCAGGAAATTGCTGGTATGGACTCTATTCGATTTTGTTCTTCTTTTTAACTTTGATTTGGGTTACAAATTGTATGAATGGTTTGCTTCTCAAAACTGTGAATAGCTCCTTTGTTTAGTGAGATTTTAAGAATTTTCCTTTTGATTCTTTATGGGGTTCTCTTATTTTTTCAATGGCCAACCACTACCTATTATTATTCAGAGTTCGTGTAATTTCTGCTGGTATAGTTATGGAATGCTTGTTCATGCTTAATTGGGGCCTAAACAAAGGTATAAGCAAAACAAAAATGGCAGAATCGAATCCTTTATGCCACCCGAAAATTCGTTTTGGCATTTACAAGAGCGCTAAAACAATGTTTGGTGCCGCTTGAGTAATCTTATGCAATTAGACTAATTATCTTATCTTAATCTACGTTTCCAATTATAGTCAGCTGGAGCTGATGTGAACCAGGAATTATTTCGGGGTTTCGCTACCACAGCTGCTGCTCGCGAAGGTCACTGTGTCCTTCTTGACATGCTTCTCAAGGCTGGTGCATCTCATTTAGCTTGTGAAGATGCATTACTCGAAGCTTGCCTTTGTGGTCAATCTAAAGCTGCAGAATTATTGATCTGCTCAGAGATGACAGGACCTGATGTGGCGCAACATGCACTTGTATCAGCTAGCTGCCGCGGATTTGTAGATGTTGTAACCACCTTGATCAAGGTGCAGATTGAGTATTTTGGCTAGTCTAATTCTTAAAGGGAAGCATCCGGTTAACCTAATTCTCCATTTTTTCCAGAATGGAGTAGACATAAATTGCACGCGGAGGGTTCTGTTGCAGTCGGTCAAGCCTGCATTGCACGCGAATGTCGATTGTACACCTTTGGTGGCTGCTATCGTGAGCCGACAAGTTTCAGTGGTTAAATATTTGTTAGAGGTAGTGATCTGATTGTTCCATTTCTACAGGCTTCAAATTATGGCAGTGGTCTAGAGGACTTTCAACTTGCATCACTGAATATCATTAGCATAACTTATCACTCGTGGTCTGTTATTCTTTTTGAAGCAAATACAGTCTTATGCCATGAGTTGCCACAGTTTTCTCCTTCTGATCTGTTTTCAACTTATAAGAACACCACTTCCCTATTTAGATATCTAATTACTGTTAATTAAGAATGGGGTTTTATAAGTGTATATTTAGGCAGGTGCAAGAAGCAATTGCTATGTTAGGCTGGGAGCTTGGTCATGGGACATCTTCTCTGGTGAAGAACTGAGAGTAGGTGCATGCTTGGGCGAGCCATATAATGAAGTTTGGTGTGCAGTTGAATATTATGAAGCAAGTGGCCAAATTTTGAACCTTTTGCTTCAGCATCAGATTTCATTCCTTGAGAGTCAACAGCAAGGCCGGAACCTTCTTTGCCATGCCATCCTTTGCCACAATTCAGATGCCATGGATGTGCTTCTCAATGCTGGTGCTGATGTTGAGTTCTGCTTAAGGACCAAGAAAGGTCACGAATTTCGTCCTATTCATTTGGCTGCTAGAATGGGTTGCCTTCGTATACTAAAACAGGTGATCTTCTATGGTTGTGAAGTTGATTCGAGGACTGAAACTGGTGACACAGCCCTGATGCTGGCGGCCAAATCCGATCAAGCTGATTGCTTCCTTGAGCTTATTGTTTCAGGAGCTGATTTGGGTCTGGTTAACAATAATGGTGAGAGTGCAGTGCACTTGGTGAAAAGAAGTGTGTTTGGATCCTCTTTGGCTGATATTTTTCGACAGGCCATTACCACTGGAAGAAAAGTCCGCTCCTCCAATCTTGAGGTGTTTTCTTTACTGCACTTCGTTGCTGGAATTGGTAATACAGAGCTTTTACAGATGATCCTTCAACATTCGACAGAAGACATAAGCAAGCATGATGGTCTTGGTTTGACACCAGCTATGGTTGCAGTAAAAGCTGGCCATACTGAGGTCTTCCGGCTCCTGATTAATGCTGGAGCTGACATCAGCAAGAGGAGCAGGGATGGTCAGGCAGTAGTGTCTCTTTTGCAGAATCATGCCTGTTCCAGTGTGAGGACTCGATTTGAAGAGATATTGCTTGATGCCGTGCTTAGTCACAAAGTGACTAGTTATTCTGAGTTTAGAGCTCTGCACTTTGCAGCACATGTTGGCAACTTGCCTGCGATAGTTCAGCTATTGGAAATGGGAATCCCTATAAATTCTGTGGATGACAGTGGGCATTCACCCCTCATGCTTGCTGCCAGGGAAGGCCACGCTGATGCCTGCAAGATATTGTTGCAAAGAGGTGCTGATTGCGGGATTATCAATCAGAGAGGAGAGGCAGCGATATCTCTGGCTAGGAAAAGCACTAAATGTAAGGCTGCAGAGCGAGTGATATTTGATTATTTGGCTCATTCTCACGTGCTACACGGTGAGGAGCTATGGAAACACACCCGTGAGGGAAAAGGTTCCCCACATATGAAGGTTGTTCAGATGCTCAAATCTGGCTTGTTAACGTGGGGAAAGTCAAACCGAAGGAATGTGGTGTGTAAGGAAGCAGTGGCTGGACCAAGTCCAACGTTTTTGAAGAATAGGAGAAAGGTAAATGAGGCTGGAGATGAGATGGTTTTCAGGGTGTTAACTGAGACAGGGAGGGAGATTCATTTTGAGGCAAGTTCTTCTTCTAGTTTGGAACTTTGGGTCCATGGCATAAACCTCATTACAAAGGAGGCCACTACCGGAGTTTGGTGATGGAATTCTTCAGCATAGAGTGATACAAAACTGATTTATTATATATAGAGATTGCATTATGGTTTCAAATACTCAATTTCTTTTCTTCTTTCCTATCCTATGTTCTTTGTTTCTAAAGGTTGAATACGAGTATAGTGAATTGAGTGAAATCAGTAACTCTGTCTCATACTCTGGTAAATCTCTTATAGTTGAGCAAACTGATCCGTAGTGATGATTGACTGATGACAGTGCTGTTTCTATTTTACCTGGCATCCATCAAAGAGGCTCCTCTTTTTATTAGTGGAGGTCATTCCTCTTGCTCTTCGAGATCTCTTCCTTGCTTTCTTCGTATTTATGTTGTAGTTATTTACCTTGTTCCCGGATGCACCTCTTCGGTAAGGAAACAGTTGGAGGCGACCGGATTCAGCCAGCAAACTGCTATCTTTGTGAATGCTCCGATTCAAAAGCAGGTATATGCATGCTGCCCATTTTGATCACAAAAGCATGTATGAGGGAAATGAAAGCTCCCACTTTCCCCATTTTGTTTTGACCCTCTCTAGAATATGAACTATGATTGTATTATTAATATACGATGGTCAATGCTTCCTAGAGATGCACAGATCATAATTGTCAGCAAGTTGAATATTTATGATTACATCCGATTTGGGAGCTACTATTCATCATGGAGATCAGCTGCTTTGCAAGATTGATGCCGGCCTTGTTGCAAAAACTCCAATGATTTCGCTTCCAAGAGGCAATGATTTCGATGAAGAGTCTCCTGGATATCTCTACAGGTTGTCTTTCCTAAAGTTCGTCAAGAAGGATCATGGAGTGTAGGAAAGGTATCTTCCAATTGGCTCACACCAGAGGGGCTAGTGATGCGTGCCTTCTCATCAGGACTTCAAAATTAGAGTAAACCCACTAGCACTATCACTATATTTTAAAGAATTGAAAAAAATAAGATTGCATATTTTCAATAATCCAAACAAACATAGAAGGACGAGATCAAAAAAAAGTTTTAATAAGCCAAAAAAAGTCCAAAATACAAAGTATCAACAAGCCCGGAATTATCTATCAAAATTTGCAAGCATAATCATGTGAAAACGGTAATTCAATATAAGAAGAAAAAATAAACAAAAAGAGAAAGAATTGAGTTTTGGAGGATAAAAAGAAATAACCTAAAAAACCTGGGCTACCTGACCAAACCTTTTATTTAAATGAGATATAGATAATTTAATTGAAAATAAATTAAAAAAATAATAAAGTTTATTTTTCAAAACAAACAACTTTAAAGGATGTAATCATAAAAAAAAATATCAACCTGTATTAACTTCTCAAACTCATGACCCTAGCTGATGATTAAATCGAAAACACTCCATTTGAAAAATTACTATTTTAAAACTTGGATCGAATTGTGACCTAGGTGACCTGAGACTTAGGCCATGTCGGGTGTCAAAAGAAATTGGAGAAGAATTAATCAATTATAAAATGATAAAAAAACATCGGTTAACTCATGTCTTGGTTAACCCAGTGCAAATCTAGTTACAACCATGTCAAAACCCGTTGACTATTTTTTTTTTATTTTTTTATAAAATAATAAGATTTAGTTGACTTGGATTAACTTTGGTTAACTCTCTCGACCCGTGACCTAGTACTTGTCTTGGATCAACTTCTAGACCGGGTTTACAAACTATTGGAAAAACCATGGAGACCAGATCCTAATAAATTAAATATTGAATGATAAAATAAAAAAATTCAATTATACAAAAGAATTAAAAAATGACAATTAAAAAAATAAGAACCTTATTAAAAAAAAATACGAGACAACCTAAAATTTTGAATTGAAGGAAAAAAATAAAAACAAATCAAGAGAATGAGGACCAAATTAAAAAAAAAAATTAAGATTATAGATCTAAGGATGAAATTGAAAATAACTTAGAATTTGATAAAAGAGTTAAGAATCAAAATTAAAAATAAAAACAATGATATGCAAACCTAAAATATCATCAAGTTTTGAGTTGAAAGCAAAAATTAAAAAGAAAAATAAAATTCACAAAAGAACCCAAAACAAAAATAAAGATTAAGAGAATGAGAACTAGATTTGAAAATAAAAATAAAAATAAAAATAAAAATAAGATCATGGATATAAGAATGAGATTGAAAATAAATTAAAATTTGATAAAAAAGCTAAAAAAATTAAAAAAAAAATTGAAGATCACATCTAAATTATCATAAAATAAAAGGAAAAATCTAATTTTTTTTAAGTGTAAGAATGAAATTCAAGGGAGAGGAAAGAGAAAAGAAGAAAAGAAAAAAAAGAGATAGTTGGTCATAAATTATCACCGTAACCACCACAAGTGTCATCTCACTTGGAAGAGGTCATTGTAGTGCTTCGAACATCATTATGGAATTTGGTGTTACTTCACTGCAAGGCGGCTTACATGCTACTAGAATAGAGCGGAGCTACTCCACACACTAACGTTGGTATTTTTTTTGTAATAATTTTTAAAAATAGAAAAAATTGGATTGTCCCTAACTTAATTTAATAATAATGAAAAACCCATAGGAAATGAGAAAAACATCCCCGGGCAGAAGACTTATAAAATTTGATTTTAGGTGCAATTTAGTCATTTTAATTTTTAAAATAAAGTAAAAAACAAAAAATACCCCTTAATTCTAATAGATTGAAAATAACTTTTAATAACAATTTAGTAATTTTACTATACAATAAAAATATAAACTTATTATTATGTTCTTTTATGAATTTGATAATGGTTTGCATCCCAATAAAAAGCTTGAATTACCCTTCTACCCAAGCTAAATGATTTTGTTTGATAAAAACAAAACTATAATTTTACTGCAAAATTCCATAGTAAAATAAGTGTGCTTATAGTAAAAGTCTAGAGTTTTATTTATTTATTTTAATTTAATATGCATGCATGATATGGTTGTCAAATTTGCAAGTTAACTCATAAAATTGTATGATTTTATGAGTCAACACATATATAACATGTGAAATTAGATAAAAAAAAAAACTTGAAAACTAATAAACTCTGTCTAAACTAGTCAAACTTGGTAAACTTGGATGGAATTTTATCTAATAAACAAACAACTTTAAAGGATGTAATCATAAAAAAAAATATCAACCTGTATTAACTTCTCAAACTCATGACCCTAGCTGATGATTAAATCGAAAACACTCCATTTGAAAAATTACTATTTTAAAACTTGGATCGAATTGTGACCTAGGTGACCTGAGACTTAGGCCATGTCGGGTGTCAAAAGAAATTGGAGAAGAATTAATCAATTATAAAATGATAAAAAAACATCGGTTAACTCATGTCTTGGTTAACCCAGTGCAAATCTAGTTACAACCATGTCAAAACCCGTTGACTATTTTTTTTTTATTTTTTTATAAAATAATAAGATTTAGTTGACTTGGATTAACTTTGGTTAACTCTCTCGACCCGTGACCTAGTACTTGTCTTGGATCAACTTCTAGACCGGGTTTACAAACTATTGGAAAAACCATGGAGACCAGATCCTAATAAATTAAATATTGAATGATAAAATAAAAAAATTCAATTATACAAAAGAATTAAAAAATGACAATTAAAAGAATAAGAACCTTATTAAAAAAAAAATACGAGACAACCTAAAATTTTGAATTGAAGGAAAAAAATAAAAACAAATCAAGAGAATGAGGACCAAATTAAAAAAAAAATAAGATTATAGATCTAAGGATGAAATTGAAAATAACTTAGAATTTGATAAAAGAGTTAAGAATCAAAATTAAAAATAAAAACAATGATATGCAAACCTAAAATATCATCAAGTTTTGAGTTGAAAGCAAAAATTAAAAAGAAAAATAAAATTCACAAAAGAACCCAAAACAAAAATAAAGATTAAGAGAATGAGAACTAGATTTGAAAATAAAAATAAAAATAAAAATAAAAATAAGATCATGGATATAAGAATGAGATTGAAAATAAATTAAAATTTGATAAAAAAGCTAAAAAAATTAAAAAAAAAATTGAAGATCACATCTAAATTATCATAAAATAAAAGGAAAAATCTAATTTTTTTTAAGTGTAAGAATGAAATTCAAGGGAGAGGGAAGAGAAAAGAAGAAAAGAAAAAAAAGAGATAGTTGGTCATAAATTATCACCGTAACCACAACAAGTGTCATCTCACTTGGAAGAGGTCATTGTAGTGCTTCGAACATCATTATGGAATTTGGTGTTACTTCACTGCAAGGCGGCTTACATGCTACTAAAATAGAGCGGAGCTACTCCACACACTAACATTGGTATTTTTTTTGTAATAATTTTTAAAAATAGAAAAAATTGGATTGTCCCTAACTTAATTTAATAATAATGAAAAACCCATAGGAAATGAGAAAAACATCCCCGGGCATAAGACTTATAAAATTTGATTTTAGGTGCAATTTAGTCATTTTAATTTTTAAAATAAAGTAAAAAACAAAAAATACCCCTTAATTCTAATAGATTGAAAATAACTTTTAATAACAATTTAGTAATTTTACTATACAATAAAAATATAAACTTATTATTATGTTCTTTTATGAATTTGATAATGGTTTGCATCCCAATAAAAAGCTTGAATTACCCTTCTACCCAAGCTAAATGATTTTGTTTGATAAAAACAAAACTATAATTTTACTGCAAAATTCCATAGTAAAAGAAGTGTGCTTATAGTAAAAGTCTAGAGTTTTATTTATTTATTTTAATTTAATATGCATGCATGACATGGTTGTCAAATTTGCAAGTTAACTCATAAAATTGTATGATTTTATGAGTCAACACATATATAACATGTGAAATTAGATAAAAAAAAAAACTTGAAAACTAATAAACTCTGTCTAAACTAGTCAAACTTGGTAAACTTGGATGGAATTTTATCTAATTTGACAAAATTAACAAAAATTATTGACTCTTTTTAATCCTCTCCTCTCTGTCCCATTTGTTTCACAAAAATTCCCCTCTCCTTTCCCCAAACCTAACATTCTCTAATCCTCAGATAACCTAAAATTTTGAATTGAAGGAAAAAAATAAAAACAAATCAAGAGAATGAGGACCAAATTAAAAAAAAAATAAGATTATAGATCTAAGGATGAAATTGAAAATAACTTAGAATTTGATAAAAGAGTTAAGAATCAA